AACTGTCTCTGTATGAGGCTGCGAATCACGCCCAGGGCCTGCATTCTTTGGAAAGGCCCGGTAGGCCGTGGAAATGTCTTCGGTACTCGGCCTGTGTTTCTTTCAACCAACTGGCGCGTCGCAACTGCCTGGACCCCAAATATGAAATTGACAGTCGAGGGCCTCTTGCAAAAAGCCAGGCCCGCCTTCACTTAGGGCGGGCACCTCCGCCTTCACTTAGGGTGGGTAAGGCTGCAGACAGGGCCCCGTAGTCCTACCGAGGACATTGATCCTCGCATAGAGCTCAAAAAGATCTACAACCTAGGCTACCAGCCGGGCCGCCCAGGTCCCGGGTGGCCAGCCCGTGCAAGGACCAGGGAAGGTCCCAGCAAAAAAAAAAAAAAAAAAAAAAATCCAAACAATCCGAAAAAGAACTATGTTATGCAGAAAAATAAACTGAACAACTTTTGCCTCAGGGTCACATTGAAATTCTTCACCAAATTTAGAATAAAAATTTAAATTTAAATTTATTTTATTTTATTTTATTTTATTTTATTTTGGCCCGGCCGGGCGAGTGACCCCGGGCCACTCTGGTAGCCTAGTCTACAACCCTATATTTTTTATTTTTATTTTTGATTATTTTTAGCCCGCGAAAAAAATCATCGCGGGTCCTGTTGTAACCCGTCTAATGCAGGGCTGCACCGGCCACCGGCCGGTTGGACCGGACCGGACCCAACCGGGCCAGTTGGAACCCCGGTGGTCCAACCGGAATTCCGATTGGGCCCAAAACCGGGTCAAATTTTTTTTTTTTTTTTTTTTTTTTTATGATGGGGTTGGACTGCGCTTGTCGAGATCTCCCCGAATCCGCAGAGAAAATATTGATCTGCAAAAAAAAAATTCATGGGGTTGGTGGGAGGGTGGCGGGTGGAAATACATGGGTTGAGGGTGGGCTGCATTTGAGGGGTGTCCTCCTCCTCCTCCTCCTCCTCACCCTCGCCATCATCATCATCATCATCATCATCATCATCATCATCGTCATCATCATCATCGTTATCATCATCATCATCATCATCATCATCATCATCACCATCATCATCATCATCATCATCGTCGTCGTCGTCGTCATCATCGTCATCATCATGATCACCCTCATCATCATCATCATCATCATCATCATCATCATCATCGCCGTCGTCGTCGTCCTCGTCGTCATCATGGTCGTCGCCGTCGCGGTCGTCGTCGTCATCGTCGTCACCATCATCATGACGTAATCCTTCGTCGTCGTCGTCGTCATCGCCGTCGCCATCATCATGATGTCATCCTCCTTCATCATCATCATTATCCATTGTTCATATAACCACCCATGCGCCCGCTACCCTCCGCGCGCGCCCACT